AATAATAATAATAATAATAATAATTATTATTATTATTATTATTATTCAGCTTATGTCCTGCAATGATACCTTTAACACCATCAAACAACATCTGCCTATCCCAGGTCCTTGGGAAGGACTCGATAGGTAAATAAAAATGTCCAATCCAGTCTAAACATCTGGCTGACTGTGCGACCAATCATAATAATAAAAATAAAACTGACTATAAACAATGACATAACATGGTTGTCAATATGATTCACTGGAACATCTGTAAAAATTATCATCCGTTAGTAATGAAAAATTGGTGGGAACATATAGTTGAAAAAGTAGTTAAAAATGAACAGGTTAAAATACTGTGGGATTTCCGAATACAAACGGATAAAATTTTGGTGCATAACACACCAGATTTAACTGTGGTTGAAAAGAAGAAAGTGTGGATAATTGATGTGGCAATACCAGGGGACAGTAGAACAGAAGACAAAGAATTGGAGATCATAAAGTATCAAGATCTGAAAACCAAAGTTGAAAGATTATAGCATAAACCGGCAGTGAAGGTCCCAGTGGTTATCGGCACACTAGGTGCCATACGGCACTTAGAAAATCTGCGCATTGACTACATTTCCATTGGTCAACTACAAAAGGCCACACTGCTTGATCCGCACATATACTACGCCAATACATTATGACATCCTTGGGTCTTGGGAATGAAGGCCAGCACCAGCTAAAGAACTGGCAGCTGTGATTTCACATTGTTGTGTAAATAATAATAATAATAGTAATAATAATAATTCCTATCCAAGTCAAACAGGGCCAGTGATTTGTTCAGAATCAACAGAATTTGATTGGATCAAATCAAATCCCTACCAAGAATCAACAGAATTTGATTTGAACATTCCCTGGAAACATGATATGGGCAACTTTCTCTACTATAGAAAGCAGAGGTCTGTCAACTGAAGCTGTTTTTCAGCCTGTAATATTCTGGCTGTTAGATCTAGTCCAAATTGATCTCAAGCTCCCCAATTTGTACATAAAGAAATCCTTACTCGAAAAGCATTTGATCACAATAATCTCAATTTCTATTTTGAGATAAATAATATCACTCAGCTCAGGTTGTACTTCCTTCCCATTTTAACAGGAATCTGGTAGCAGCTTTGCTCACCGTAATGAGTTAGATATGATCACAGAATGTGTGACTTGGAAGGAATCTTATAAATGATCCAGTAGTGCTGGCCATCCAGCTCTTTTGAAAACTTCTAGCATGCACCACTGTTCCAGACAGAATATCCAGCCACTTAACATTTCTTACCATCAGGAAATTTCTCTAAATATTCAGCCTGAATCTCTTTTTTAAGATTCCAGACAATTAGTGTTTGTTCTATCCTTACTTTTAACAGAAGGCAAATCTCTCCCATTTTTCATTGGACAGTCCTCTTTGGCAAGCTAATGTCTGTAACAATTCCTTGCCATTTCTTAGTTACTTAACACCTTATTGTCCTGATAATTCTCCTTGCTTCAGCTTCTTCACATCCCTTTCAAAATACAGCAGCCAGAATTGGACACAGTACTCCAAGTGCAGACTAATCAGCGCAGAATATAAAGGAATGATTACACCCCATGATCTGGATGCAATGCTGTCTAAGATTGCATCAGTCATTTGAGTTGCTGCATCATTGCTGGTTCATACTCAGTTGGGGGCCCACTAGGAACCCTAGATTTTCTCACATGCACTGCCGTCAAGCAAGGTCTGTTCAATCTTGTACCTTGTTAGGCAGAGTGCAGATATG